CTGCACTCTATTTTATCTTATACTATTTTATCCTACTTTTTATCTTTATCCTTTATCTTACATTACTATACTTACCTATTTTATCTCACTGTAGCCTATTTTATTTTATTTTACTGCACCTCACTTTATTTCATTTTATTGCATCTTACTCTGGCTGATGCCTATGCTTTGATATGGTCAGCTGACTAATCATAGCTGCCTGCTTGCAGCTACAGAGCTGAAGAAACTATGACAGCTGCTGTAAAGGGTGCACCTTACTCCGTCGGTGTAAGGAATGCTGAGTAGGAGGCTGCTACGTGATAGCATTAATCACTCTTGTCTCTCTTGACTAACTCAGTTCCAGACAAACAGCAGGAAAAAGAAAGCAAGATAAACAGGTTGTCCCTTTTTCAGCACCACCAAGATCTCGACCTCCTTTTCACTGTCTGTAGCGGGAGAGCCCCTTGTTAATAACTTAGCAGCACACTTCTGGTTCAGACCATTTCAGAATCATAAACTATTCACAATCATTCTTAATTTTTTTTTTAACTAGGGGATTTCTAAAATTAAGAGATGACTGTATATTTGTATCCCTACCACGTATACGCTCCCAAAGTTACATCCATTGTAAGCAAGATTTATTTACATGCCACCTACTTCAGAGATTCTGGGCAGCTTACATTCCAATAATAAAACTATAAAAACAATAAAAATAGGTCAAACCAAAACACCAAACTTCAACTAATCATACCCTCTCTGAGGTGCAGCCACCTCCACTTAAATAGCACCTTCTGCCCCAACCAGTCCTTTCTGGGCAAGCTATTTCAGAGTATTTGGGCTGCTTCTGTACTAATGAAAATGTTTGAATTGCCCTATGTAATTGCAGTCATTCAAATGCAAAAAGATGACTGTCATAGCCTCCTGTCTGGGAGAATCCACAGCTGGTATACTAGTGAAAACCAATATCAATCTGATATCTTGAGTGGCAAGACCAATACGATAACACATAAGGAGAACTTCTATTCTCATGGCCAAATGAAGATCTTCAGGCTTCTCAAGTCAGTCTTCCAAACTCTGCATTCCATCAGTAGCTCCATTCCAGGTTACCGATAAAAATCTTTCCCTCTTATCCTCCAGTAAAGCTAAGGAAGCAAACCTTACACAAGTTATGGATAGAGAATGCCTGGGTGCAAATATCCCTCCTCATGACTTGCTAACCAAAAATAAGAGTCACACTCATAACCTAGCCAATAATTATTGACCAATAAGAGGAATACATTTTTAATAATCTCCCTCATTAGCCTGTACTTAATATCGACTAACTAAGGCTGTACTCTCTCTCTTATATACGACTGTATAATTAAATCTGTTGGAACTACCCCACATGCAGTAATTAAACTAGAAGTTGTATACAGTACTAATTCATACCAGCATATACTGCCAATTTTCACACAGTACACTTAGATCAAGATTCCCTCTTCTGTAATAAAATGTTTCCTTTAGTTTATTATCTGTTGAAAGAACAAATAGGAGAGTGCTTATCTCTAGTTGTCCCATAACTCTTTAGCTACTCTACTGGGAGATCAAGGTATCAACCCTCTGGCAGATCATGGGGTCTCCATGAGGAAGGCGAAATTGGAGAAAAATTTCATCCCATCCCTTTTTCCAATGCTTTGGAATTTCACTGAGTATTAGTTGGGATCCAGTCCACTGAAAATAGAGCTTCAGGTCAATCTGGATTGATTCAAAGCTATGTGTAAATATTACATTTTCATTAGGTTAATTAAACTGCATATTAATCTGCTGTTAAGACTCCCTCCTCATACAAAAAAAGAAGATGGCATTGAATCTGTAAGATATTTTGGGTCAAATCTCAAGTATGTTTTTGTTGGAGATTAGAATATTCTGGATGTGTATCTGAACAATCCTGTGACTGGGAATTTGCCCTGAGCAGTAATTGGTGAAGAGGTTCTATAATAGAAAGGAGAATTTTTCATATAAAATAGATTATAAGGATAGGCAAAGACCAGAGTCCAAGAGCCTGTGCTCTGTGCATGCATAGCTGGGAAATAAGGCAGAAGTAAAGGACCTCAGATTACTTACAGAGAGGGGACACCGAATAAATCCTTAACTTTTTACCTGCACCCTACAGCCCCTTTGTTGTCAGTAGGTCATGACATGTTGAAGAATCAGTGCCATTAGATTTGCACTTATTATCAGGTGTATGTATTGCAACCATGTATTAGGGTACTTGACATAATAACTCTTGAGGATATATTTTGAAAGTACTACATTCCTTTTAAGAGGCTACTTTATTTTTAAGAGGCTGCTCCATCTTGAAAATACATCCTTTAATTATCCATCATGTAAGCTAACGAGGCAGCAAGGTAGTGTTCTGTGAGTAGAATTCACAGCAGAATTATAATCATGATTTATTGCTGGGCAGCCAAGCCTAGGATTATCCTTTGTATTCTCAAATCAACATAAAATGCCTGATCATATATTTTAAATCTACTATATAATACTATGCAAAGAAAAAGCATTTTTATGGTCATTCTTATTTAGAATATAAAGCTTAATGGAACTGTATGAGGATGTAGAAAAACAATGTCTCATCCAGTATCAATTCTCAAATTATCCACATAATTCTGTCTGGACAAAGTACATAATCCATGGTGTAGTTGCTGTTATTTCTCTTCTTCTTCCTAATAATGACAGATTTTTTAAATTTCTAAAACTCAATATAGTTAGAAGGCCAGGATATAATCAGGATGAAACCCTTACACTGTTAATTGGAAGCATCTTTAGTCATATTAGTTAATGAAAGAAAAGATGAACAAATGGCCCTTGAATCATTCATTTGCTTCCAATAAACCAAGTCAGGTTAAAAGGGCAGTGGCAAAAAATCAGTCAGGGTGCTTTTGTTATAGGGGTGGCCTATACATTTATGGCAATGCTTGTGTAAAATTGTATATATGCATATACATATACCTTGTCTGTTTGTTTTTAACTTTTTGTTGTCTTGGGGTTCCCCCCTTTCTTTCTGTTGTTTTCTTTTTCCCTTTTCTATTCTCTTTATATAAATAAGGGCTAGAACAGCTTATAATTATTGAAAATAAAATGCAGTATATAATGAAAGTTGTGTAGGGCAAGTCCTGGCTTCTAGGAGACGTTACACTGATATAAAACTTATTACACATTTTTAAGATACACACTCCTGAGACATCCATGGCTATAGTTCAAGATTCACCACAATCTCATCATCACCAATCATTAGCTTTGTTATCCATCTGCAGTACAGGCTGCCTTAAAAAATACAGATGACTCAGAGTATGTACCTGAAGAGATCAAAGCTAATAAGTATCATTCTTAATTATTGCATTTAATTCACATTTCCTAACAAAAAGCCAACACAGATTAAGAAGTTCATTTGTAGCAATAATGTATTGCTTATATTACAAATCTGATGAATTCCTGCCAGATATAAATCAGTAAAACAGATAAGAAGCTTAATATCAAAAGCTGGATGCAAGTTCATTTTCTTTTCAATTGGACACCTTAAGACTATTTAACTTCTGGGAAGCAGTAAATTTAATCAGTAGCTCTTGTTCAGTCAATCTTTACAAAATAGAAATAGAGGATTGGATGATTGACAGGATGCTTTCTTCAAGGGCACTGGCAAATATTTCTGGCTTTACACAAAATTGACTCTTGAGGAAGTTGAGCTGCCAGTTATGCACACCTACAAAGATCATCTTCGCTCAGTGCATGGAACCTTTTTCTAAGCAAGCCCAAAAGTTTGACATGAGAAAACATAGCATCAGGCTTTTAGAATTTGTCAACAATAGGTTATGATTTCATCATCTCTTTTCCTTTATTCTGATGCCTGGGTAAATTTATTGTGCAGTTGCATCTTAGATCTTCTGCATAAGAAAGAAAAGAATCCAAAATCCATAGTTAGATAATACCCTTAACAAGTAAGTGTAAACATTTTCAAATTCTTCAGAATCTATCAGACACGGTAGGGGAAAAAACAGGGAGATAAAGAGGGAAGCAAGCAAACAATTCTAAAATTAGACCACGTATTTTACCCATAAGAATTGTAGATACACTCAAAATTACAGACTGAGGGCATTAGTCATTAGTGGGGGTTGCCAATACCTGAAAATGCATTGGCTGAAACCCATTCCTAAAATGCAAAGGTTGGCTGATCTGCCAATCTATCCAAATAACAGTTGAGAATGACTCAGTGCATGTAGGCATGGCCTCTTCTTCTTCCCCACCTCCAGATTCACAAAGCCTACTTTTTTCAAAATCCATTCATATAGCATCTCTTCCCACACCCATAAGTGGAAATCAAAACAAGTATATGATAGAATGTAAAATTGATGAATGTCCATGCATTGACTAATCCTACTACTTCATTCTAGCACGAAGTATAGAGCAATAGTGGATGGATGGAGAAATAGAAACCAGATTTATTATCTTTATCTCTGTCTCTGTCTCAGATTTGTTATTTTTTTGTCGTTTGTCATGGAAAATCTCAAATTCTGAACATTTTGCCAGTGGGGTTTTGTTGTACAGGGTTATTGTTGCTTGCAGGGCAACTGAATTCATACAAGTGGGGACCTAGAAATAGTTTATATTTATGAAGTAGGGAAAAGCACATGGAGGCTGGAGAAGATAATCCAATTGTCCATTTGATGGGTGTAGAATTAGAGGTGGAGGAGAGAAGAACAGCACCTGCTGCCTCCCTCATAGCTTAATTTTCCACCTCTTTTGGACATGCACCCATATTATCACTCTTCTAGCTGGAAGACTGTGTATTAGAAAAGAGACATTTTAGGCTTAACTTCCACACTAAACAATATTATATTTACATGTATATGAAAGAACTAACATATCCCCATATTACTGGTGATAGGAAGTTTTGTAGCATTTTTGGGACAATATTATTCATATAATTCTGATTTTTTTTAAAAAAAAAACTCTTCCCCCCCCCCTCCCCTGTTCCAATGCAGGTGAAGAAAATTTATTGGCAATCTTGAAACGAAGATGGTGGAAGTACATGATCCTTGGAATAATAGATATAGAAGCGAATTACCTGGTAGTTAAAGCTTATCAGTATACCACTTTTACTAGTGTACAGGTAAGATTTTCTCCTAGTTTATTTTGTCTTCTCTCCAGTAACTTAATCAGAATATCAAAGGAAACAGGATTGAACTTCACAGTAATAGATCCATACTTTCCTTCCTGAGACTGGCATCCTATTTCCTCCATGCGTTGGCTCAAAAGAGAGAATGGGTCTTACATTTATGTAAGGCATGGTAAGCATAAATATGATAATTACAGATATAAGGCTGTGGGCACATAAAGCTCATTCTTAGCTTTGCTCATTATGCTGGCAAAGATGAAACTAGGAGCTTCAAATAAGTTAAAGAGATAAGCAGTAATAATCCTGTTCACTCTTCTGTACAAGGATTAAAAACATGTTAAGAAATGTGAAAAGGAGGCTATTATCTCATCCCCCATATCCAGTTTCATGTAGAATTAGGAGTCAATACTGGAAGCTAACGTCATAGTTTGGTAGATATTATTCTTCAAAAATCAAAGACTTCATATGCATGACAACTATTGAGAAGTTACACAGCAAGGAAACAGATGGATAAGTATCCTACAAGCCGGAAACAATAAAGGTCACGTCACTGTAATATAGCCTTCAGATGATGAAATTACCAATTTTCTTTAAAGGGCCTAAACTTGCAGGTCCCTTCTGGCAGAACTGCTTGGGTGGCATAACCCAAGGGAAGGCTTCATGTGATGGGTTTTACTCAAGACATGTAATCTTTCAACCATTTTCTTCTCTTTGCATTGTAGGTTTGGTGCCAAGGAGTATTAAGTCATGGTCCTGTTTTTTTCACAATTACTTTTCTTAACTTAAACCTTCACGCATGTTGTAGCTATGTGCCTGTGTATTCTTGTTTGTTTGTTTGACCCAAACAACCAAACCAGTTTTATGCACTCCATGTGATAACGTTACCAAAGGCCCACAAATTTTAGCTGGGTTTAGTAGATAAGCCAAAATTTGTGGTCACATGGACTCTGTCTTTCCCCTTTGGTGAAATTCTATGAAGTTGATTCAGAAATATGTCCTACTGTGTTGAATGGCTCTCAGACAGGTGTGCAGATGATTGCAATCTTAGCACCCTTTTTGCTGTACCTCTTATTAGAAGTCAGGTCTAGTGTTCCACTCCCTTTCCTAGATTCAAAATATATGTAAGAACAGAGATTTCTTTTGCTTGTGATCAACTGAAGTCTCTGAGACTGTCAGATATTCACATATCCCAGAATGTTGCAGGTGACTCCATTACAGGTGACCTCATCCCAGAATGCCTGGAGTACATTCATGACATTCGGAATACAGTGATGAATGGTGGAAAAAAGTTCCACTTTAATTGGAAAGATGCCTTTCTGTGCAAATTTTCTAAAATAATTGTGTTGTTTCTCTAAAAACATGGCCTAAACGGTTATCCCATATTTGCTGCCTACAAATTGGGCCATACATTTGGGATAGCCATTTTTGTTCATGCCACCTTTTCATCCTTACAAGTAGAAATATAGACCGTCATGTAAAAACATAATTTTATGTAGAGATGGCAATAGCTGTTTGATTGCAGAAACATTCCTATGTCTAGCACATTAATTTTCTGTAAGGTCATGCATTGAAATACAATTGCATACAGAGAACGTTTCCTGCATGTATGAGCAAGCAGCTAGAACTGTGAAATGAATAAATGCATTGCACTTGCTATATTTTTAACTGATAACAATCAATGCTTACTTGAAGAGTCATAGGCAATATTTTAATAATAAGGAATATATGAACCATTTCAATAGATAATGAGCTTTACCATATATATCGCTTAAAGAATCTGTTTCATGATGGAAAACTTGTATACTGTACAAATATGCCAAGTTTGCAGAGACTTCAAGAAACATTTCACTCTTTTTCTCATCTTAAACTGACTGCAAGAGCCAATAATTGTTGAAAGAAACTTGATGGAATTCCATGCACTTCTTTTGTTTTTAATTTTGAAATAGCTCTAAGCCTTCCTAAGGATATGTAATAAAGTCCAAGGATGCTTTGTTGTACTGTAAATTAGATGCTGCAAACAGAGCAATATTGTGGTGTCTCAGTTTGTACAGCCCAAGAATGTACAAGCCCAAGCACGCAGAAGAAACTCAACTACATATACATTTGACCTTTGCCCAGGAAGTAATTGCTTTATTTGGAAAGGTGTGATTCTGTGGTGAGATTATTATTGGAAAAAGCACCCTTAGTTCTCTCATCCTGATGAATTTCTGATTAATATTTTAATTTGGGCTAGGTGCTGGTATGTGTGATGACTTCTCCGCTCTAAGTACTGTAGGTTGGGTTGTTTTTATCCTTAAAGGAAAGGAGAATCTAGTTATATTTCAGTCTGGCTTTATAGCTGGTTTTGAGACCTTGATGGCTTTGGCTGCCTCGATAAATGAACTAATCCAATAATTTGACAGGGAAAGCATGTCTCTGTTGATTCTGCTGGACCTGATTAAAAGCTCTTAACCATGGTGTCCTTCTAAACCAAATTACAGGGATACAAGTGAGGGGTATGGTGACTTTATTTTTCTGGGATAATTGTTTTTGGAAAGTGATGCTGAGAGACTTACCTTAATTTAGTCTTTAGGTGATTGTGTTCCTCAGAATTCTATTTCTTCTCTTCCATGATATTTAACATCTATGTGTAGTGGAGATCATTTGAGGTTTGAGAGTTATAATCATATAAAGAAACATCAAATAATTACAAAAATGAAATACAAGTAAAACAAACTCAGTTTCTTTCCAACAGGGACAATAGTTGTTGGGTGTTGGTGAACGCTGGCATGTCACCCAAAACATTATGGTGTGTCACCTTTGATATGCATGCCATAGGTTCACCATCACTGGTTTAGTGTAACAAATATGAGATAATATTCAGCTACATCTCTCCTTTCCATTCCATTCAAGGAAGGTTGTTTAAATCATTGCCTGGCTGTTGAATTAGTTGGGTCATAATAAACTGAAATATAATCCAGTCAAGAAAGAAGTAGCCTTAGTAAGGCTGAAGTAGGAATTGAAGCTGTGTGCAATGGGATATTACTCACCTTGAAAACATAAGTTCATGGTTTGGATATCTTCTGAAACTTGGCATTCATCTTGGATGCTTGCTAAGAATTATTTGCCCAGCTGATAATGATGTGCCATCTATATTCATTGGAATTGATCAATGAAAGCCTAGTAATGTAACAAATACCTTAGTAATATCACATTGGATTATGAGAAAGTTGTTTACATTGGACAGCTTTTGTAGACTATGTTGAAGCTACTTGTCATCCAGGCTGCAGTAGAATAATGCTATTCTGGGTCTGTTCTTCAAATGGCTATCCTGCCTTCTATTTACGGTATAAGTATAGTTCAACATGACTGTGACTTTTAAAGTCCAGAATGGCTTAGAATATAGCTAAATGATCATCTACTCCCAAACAATGAGCCTGCTATTGAAGTAACCACCATAGGCACACTTACATGTCCCATCACCCCAGAGTTAATTGGAACTAAGAAGTTTCCTACTTCACTGATTTGAACAAAACATTTCTCTTTAAAAAGGCATTTAGTATGAGATTTTAACTTGCTTTTAAAAATCTATCTCTGTGTTATTGTTGTGATGTAAGATATCTATTGTCTTGATATGCTCCTAATTTGTTGGAGGTTTATAACTATGTTTTTAAAAACGCCTTTTCCAGATATAATTGTTTTGAGGGTTGGTAGAGTTTCTCCTGATCATGCAAGCTATTTCCTTGTTATACATGTATGCCAAAATCCTGTGCAACCCCCTGGTTTTATAAAAGGGCAACCAGCCTATAGTATTATTAAATTATAATAGTGATTTCAGATATAGAGTCAGAAAAAACATCAGAAAAAATATAATCAACAATAATGATATTGAATGATGTGGTGTAATGGAACTTTTTGGAGGAGGTTTCAATTACACATGATTTTTTAAAAATATCAGTCTGAATGCAACTATTGAAATCTGTAAAGATTGAGTTTTTTAGTTGGCTCTGAATTTTTTGTAAATATCTTTGAATATCTCTTATAAAATGTCCTTGTTTCTAGTTGTAAATATTTTGAATGGGTTATCTCAGATTAATGTTGATATAGTTAGAAATTTGAATTAAGGTTCTAGAGACAGGGAAATGTTATAAAAATGAATATCACTTCAAGATTATTATATGTACTTAAAAGGATTCTCATATTAATATATTTAAGGCATTTCAAGATTTTCCTATATATTACATAAGTTTATGAGTGTATGCGCATGGCTGCTTTTTTGTGTATGTGTGTGTGTATTAATGTGTATCTTTTCTATTTCCTTTTCTGTACATTATGTATGTTTTGTATTATATGTTTTTTTTTGGTCTTTTGTCCTGTTTTCTTTGTTGTATTTTTCTTTTTTTAAATTTTGCATATTAACAGAATTAATGTAAAAATCAAATCATTTTTTGAAAGGATAATTCTAATTCCTTGATTTGGGAAAAATCAGGAGCAATCTATTAGCACTTTTTCCAGCTCACACATGTGATTAAAAGACACAAGCTTTTGTGAGTCACAGTTCACTTCATCAGATGCATAGAACTGGTAGATTGATGTCGGATTTAAATTGCAGTGAAGGGAGGGAGGAAAGGGAGAGGAAGAGAAGTTGGTTATGCAGATGCAGATTACATGAGAAACAGCTAACAACTACCTTATCAGTTGACAATTATAATGTGTTAAAAGTCCATTGTTTGTTGAGCCTTTCTGAGATTGCCTGAAACCTTTTGATGTCTGTGAATTCAGCAACCCCTCGTCCAGTGATGGAGTTAAACTCCTGTTTTTCCAAAACAGTTTGACTTGGAGTATCTCCAGATTTCTGTCCACTAAGGATAAGAAAATTGTCAACTTTTCCTTTCCTACGCTGTTTTTTATGTTTTTTACCGGGGAAAAGGGTTCAGCAACTGGAGGCCTAGAAACCCATATTTTGTTGATTCTGACCGCAATTGTCAGAAGAAAGATCTATTGTTTCTATCATT